CCTTCTCAAGACTCCCATCTCCTTCCTTTTTTTTTCCCGTATTGCAGAACATTCAAGGATTTCAGAGAGAGAGTCAAACATGTTGGGCATCCCGTTTGGACTACTGTAATGCACCCTACTTGGGGCCGCCCTTGGAAGCTGTTCCAAAACTCCGGCTGGTTCAGGTCCCCACCTACACTGCAGTTGGAAGACTAGAAAAGCATGCAAGAGAAAGCCCCAAATGCGTATGAGTGCATCCCGTTTGGACTACTGTAATATGCTCTCCATGGTGCTGCCCTTGGAAACGATTTGGATACTCCAGCAGGTTCAGATCCCTATCTACCCTGCAGCTGGAAGACAACAAAGGCATAGAAAGGCAAGCAAAAGAAACCCCCAAATGCGCATCAGTGCATCCCGTTTGGACTACTGTAATGAGCCCTCCATGGTGCTGCCCTTGGAAACTGTTAGGAAACTCCAGCAGGTTCAGGTCCCCATCGACACTGCAGTTGGAACACAACAAAAGCCTTCTCAAGACTCCCATCTCCTTCCTTCTTTTTTCCCCGTATCGTAGAACATTCAGGGATTTCAATGAGAGAATCAAACATCTTGGGCATCCCGTTTGGACTACTTTAATGCACCCTACTTGGGGCTGCCCTTGGAAGCTGTTCAGAAACTCCAGCAGGTTCAGGTCCCCATCTACACTGCAGTTGGAAGACAACAAAGGCCTACAAAGGCGTGCAAATGAAAGCCTCAAATGTGCACCAGTGCATCCCGTTTGGACTACTGTAATGTGCCCTCCATGGTGCTGCCCTTGGAAGCTGTTCGGAAACTCCAGCAGGCTCAGGTCCCCATCTACACTGGAGCTGGAGGACAACAAATGTCTACAAAAGCATGTAAACAAAAGCCCCAAATACGCATCAGTGCATCCCATTTGAACTAGGATTCTATGACTTAGAGACTGGATGGCCATCTGTCAGGAAGGCTTGGATAGTGTCTTCCTTCATAGCAGAATGGGGTTGGACTGGATGGCCCTTGGAGTCTCTCCCAACTCTAGGATTCTATGATTGAGAGACTGGATGGCCATCTGCCAGGAAGACTTGAATAGAAATTCATGCAAATTAAAGTTCCAAATGTGCATCAGTGCATCCCGTTTGGACTACTGTAATGCACCCTACTGGGGGCTGCCTTTGGAAACTGTTCGGAAACTCCAGCAGGTTGAGGTCCCCATCTACACTGCAGTTGGAAGACAAGAAACTCCTAGAAAAGCATGCAACTGGAAGCTTCAATTGCGCATCAGTGCATCGCCTTTGGACTACTGTAAGCTCCCTCCATGGTGCTGCCCTTAGAAGCTGTTCAGAAACTCCAGCAGGTTAAGGTCCCCATCTACACTACAGTTGGAAGACAACAAAGGCCTAGAAAGGCATGCAAATGAAAGACCCAAATTCACATCTCGTTTTGACTACTGTAATGCATCCTACTTGGGGCTGTGCTTGGAAGCTGTTTGGAAGCTCCAGCAGGTTCAGGTCCCGATCTACACTGCAGTTGAAAGACAACAAAGGCCTAGAAAAGCATGCAAATGAAATCTATCAGTTGCAAAAGGCAGGTGTTTGAACAAAGGCTGGATGGCCATCTGTCGGGAGAGTTTTGATCGTGTCTTCCTGTCTGGCAAAATAGGGTTGGATGTGTTTTGGGGCTCCCTTCCAATTGCGGTGGAATATAGATTGTCTGGGTGGTTGGTGGAGGTATTTAAACAGAGGCTGGATGGCCATCTGTCGGGAGGGTTTTGATTGTGTCTTCCTGCCTAACAAAATGGAATTCGATGAGTTTTTGGGGTCTCTTCCAACCGTAGTGGAATATAGGCTGTGTGGGAGTTTAGTGGAGGTCTTGAAACAGAGGCTGGATGGCCATCTGTCGGGAGGGTTTTGATTGTGTCTTCCTGCCTAACAAAATGGAATTCGATGAGTTTTTGGGGTCTCTTCCAACCGTAGTGGAATATAGGCTGTGTGGGAGTTTAGTGGAGGTCTTGAAACAGAGGCTGGATGGCCATCTGTCGGGAGGGTTTTGATTGTGTCTTCCTGCCTAACAAAATGGAATTCGATGAGTTTTTGGGGTCTCTTCCAACCGTAGTGGAATATAGGCTGTGTGGGAGTTTAGTGGAGGTCTTGAAACAGAGGCTGGATGGCCATCTGTCGGGAGGGTTTTGATTGTGTCTTCCTGCCTAACAAAATGGAATTCGATGAGTTTTTGGGGTCTCTTCCAACCGTAGTGGAATATAGGCTGTGTGGGAGTTTAGTGGAGGTCTTGAAACAGAGGCTGGATGGCCATCTGTCGGGAGGGTTTTGATTGTGTCTTCCTGCCTAACAAAATGGAATTCGATGAGTTTTTGGGGTCTCTTCCAACCGTAGTGGAATATAGGCTGTGTGGGAGTTTAGTGGAGGTCTTGAAACAGAGGCTGGATGGCCATCTGTCGGGAGGGTTTTGATTGTGTCTTCCTGCCTAACAAAATGGAATTCGATGAGTTTTTGGGGTCTCTTCCAACCGTAGTGGAATATAGGCTGTGTGGGAGTTTAGTGGAGGTCTTGAAACAGAGGCTGGATGGCCATCTGTCGGGAGGGTTTTGATTGTGTCTTCCTGCCTAACAAAATGGAATTCGATGAGTTTTTGGGGTCTCTTCCAACCGTAGTGGAATATAGGCTGTGTGGGAGTTTAGTGGAGGTCTTGAAACAGAGGCTGGATGGCCATCTGTCGGGAGGGTTTTGATTGTGTCTTCCTGCCTAACAAAATGGAATTCGATGAGTTTTTGGGGTCTCTTCCAACCGTAGTGGAATATAGGCTGTGTGGGAGTTTAGTGGAGGTCTTGAAACAGAGGCTGGATGGCCATCTGTCGGGAGGGTTTTGATTGTGTCTTCCTGCCTAACAAAATGGAATTCGATGAGTTTTTGGGGTCTCTTCCAACCGTAGTGGAATATAGGCTGTGTGGGAGTTTAGTGGAGGTCTTGAAACAGAGGCTGGATGGCCATCTGTCGGGAGGGTTTTGATTGTGTCTTCCTGCCTAACAAAATGGAATTCGATGAGTTTTTGGGGTCTCTTCCAACCGTAGTGGAATATAGGCTGTGTGGGAGTTTAGTGGAGGTCTTGAAACAGAGGCTGGATGGCCATCTGTCGGGAGGGTTTTGATTGTGTCTTCCTGCCTAACAAAATGGAATTCGATGAGTTTTTGGGGTCTCTTCCAACCGTAGTGGAATATAGGCTGTGTGGGAGTTTAGTGGAGGTCTTGAAACAGAGGCTGGATGGCCATCTGTCGGGAGGGTTTTGATTGTGTCTTCCTGCCTAACAAAATGGAATTCGATGAGTTTTTGGGGTCTCTTCCAACCGTAGTGGAATATAGGCTGTGTGGGAGTTTAGTGGAGGTCTTGAAACAGAGGCTGGATGGCCATCTGTCGGGAGGGTTTTGATTGTGTCTTCCTGCCTAACAAAATGGAATTCGATAAGTTTTTGGGGTCTCTTCCAACCGTAGTGGAATATAGGGGAAGCTGCCGCTGCTGAGGCCCTCTTTGGCAGCAGCCTCCCCCTCACTCCTGTGCTGCTCCGTGTGTGTGTGTGTGTGTGTGTGTGTATACACACACACATACATACATACATACATATATATACATACATAGGCCTGGGCCAATTTTGGCCCTCCTTCCAGGGTCATTTGGGAATTGTAGTTGCTGCGATTATAGTTAACTACAATCAAAGAGCATTCTGAACTCCACCAATGATGGAACTGAACCAAATTTGGCACACAGGACTCCCATGGCCAACAGAAAAGAAGAGTTTGTTGGGCATTGACCTTGAGTTTTGGAGTTGTAGTTCACCTACATCCAGAGAGCACTGTGGACTCAAAAAATGATGGATCTGGACCAAACTTGGCACAAATACTCTATGCCCAAATGTGAACACTGGTGGAGTTTGGGGAAAATAGATTTGACATTTGGGAGTTGTAGTTGCTGGGATTTATAGTTCACCTACAATCAAAGAACATTCTGAACCCCATCAATGATAGAATTGGGCCAAACTTTCCACAGAACCCCCATGACAACAGAAAATACTCTGTTTTCCAGTGGTCTTTGGTGACCCTTCTGACACCCCCTCATGATCCCCCCAGGGGTCTCAACCCCCAGGTTGAGAAATGCTGCCTTATGGCCATCCAGACCAACTCCCTTCACCAGAGCAAGAAAACAATCAAAGCCCTCCTGATAAAGAGCCATCCTGCCATAGATATAGATAGATCTATAGGATTCAAACACACACACACACACACACACACACACGGAAGATATAATATCATAGATTTGAAAGGGATCCCTAAAGAAGGACAATGATATGTTTTATGTTCCAGAGTAGGCAAACCAGACAATCGCTACGTCAACACTGACAAAGAAACAACAAGAAATACTGTTTACCCACAAGCATCAAGAAATTACATATATTAGAAACCAACTTTCTCATTACTTTCTTTTCAAGATGACCAGACTGGCAGGGGATGGCTAGCATATATATATATATATATATATGGCATGGGCCAACTTCGGCCCTCCATGTGTTTTGGACTTCAACTTCCACAATTCCAAATAACCAGTAGGATGTCCAAAATACCCGGAGGGCCAAAATTTGTCCATGCCTGCCCCTCTCTCTCTCTCTCTCTCTCTCTCTCTCTTTATATATATATATATATCAGTGATTGGTTGGTGGGGGGACCAAAATACTGTTTGCTTACCATTGAAAATTACCTAGGGCTGCCTCTGCTTCCAACCATAGTGGAATATAAGCTGTGTGGGAGTTTGGTGGAAGTCTTTAAACAGAGGCTGGATGGCCATCTGACGGGAGGGTTTTGATTGTGTCTTCCTGCCTCCAGATATTTTGGACTTCATCGCTCACGATTCCTAACAGCCCATTGTTTTGATCCAAAAGGGGAAATGTTGACATTGTGGTGAGACAACGTGGAGATTTTTCACTCCTCCCTTTTCTCCCTCTAGGTCTCATCGTCTACCTGGGGATGATGGTCGGCGCTTTCTTTTGGGGCAGCCTGGCGGACCGGCTGGGGCGGCGGCAGTGCCTGCTGATGGCCCTCTCCGTGAACAGCGTCTTCGCCTTCTTCTCCTCCTTCGTCCAGGGATACGGCACTTTCCTCTTCTGCCGCCTCCTCTCCGGCGTCGGGTACGAAGGGATCTGTTTATAGTTTCCACGTGCATCTACACTGTCGAATGGATGCACTTTGGAACCACTCTAATTCTCACAGCTCAGTGCGATGCAACCCTGGGAGCTGTCATTGGGCAAGAAAGTTCCCAACCTTGGAAAACTACAACTCCCAGGACTCCATAATATTGAGCCAAGACAGTGTAGATGCACCTTGAATTTCAAATTTGTTTCCTTTCTGCCTCCATGAGGACTAGGGACTTAACTTTGGTTCCCTTTGCAAATATACCCTTTTCATTCCTACCTCATCCAGAGTTTTATCATTTAATGTTGTAACATTTGGCCTGCCCACTGTGCCTGATTTTTCTCTTTGTTATTTTGCAATGTTTTACTTATTTTATTGCGATCTTATTATTATTATTTTTTGCCATTTTGTATTTATTTTGCTGTGATGTATTTCCGGGCTTGGCCTCATATAAGCGGGGCATAAATAAATATTATTATTATTATTATTATTATTATTATTATTATTATTATACTACCAGAGGGATTCTGGGAGCCATAATTCCCTTTGAAACTACTTTTTAAAAACCATATGCTGGAAATAGAGAGAGATGGGTGCAAAGAAGCTGTCAAATGAATGCCGTTTGCCCCATTTTAACTGCCGTTTGATTTTAAATAGTATGGAAATGCTTTAAATGTAAGCCGATTTGAAATTTTTGCAAGCGGGGTATAAATAAATATAAAACTATATTGTTGAAAGCTTTGCTGTGAGTTTTCTAGGCTGTCTGGCCATGTTCCAGAAGCATTGCAAAGCTCCCTGCTTGGGTGGTGATGGCACAATCGTCAGCATAGATGAAACTCTCTGTCCCTTCTGGCAGTGGCTGGTCATTTGTGTCAATGTTAAGCATGAATGGAGCGAGCTGCTTATCCTTTCTTTTTTCCCTGTTTCTAGCATCGGGGGCTCGATCCCCATCGTCTTCTCCTACTATTCGGAGTTCCTGGCGCAAGAGAAGCGGGGAGAGCATCTCAGCTGGCTCTGCATGTTCTGGATGATCGGTGGCATCTACGCCTCGGCCATGGCTTGGGCCATCATCCCCCATTACGGTATTTTTTGAGTTATATAGCAATTTTCTTGTGTTATTTCCTGCCACAATGTATGCTGAAATGGTTGAGATATTCATTGAAAGTGTACCTTGGTTAGTTTTGAATGGCCTTGCAGCTTCAAAGCCTGGCTGCTTCAAAAACCCCACTTGCCCAGTTTCCAACAGACCTCGCAACTTCTGAGGATGCCTGCCATAGGTGGCCAGATAGCGAAGAAAACTCACAACGACCCAAGCATTTAATGGCCTAGCAGTTTCAAAGTCTGGCTTCTTCCTGCCTGGGGGAATCCTTTGTTGGGAGGTGATTATCTGTCTCAAACCTCACAGCTTCTGAGGATGCCTGCCATAGGTGGCCAGATAGCGAAGAAAATTCACAACAACCCAAGCATTTAATGGCCTAGCAGTTTTAAGGTCTGGCTTCTTACTGCCTGGGGGAATCCTTTGTTGGGAGTTGATTAGCTGGCTTTGACCTCATAAGCTCTGACGATGACTGCCATAGGTGGCCAGATAGTGAAGAAAACTCACAATGCCCCAAGCATTTAATGGCCTAGCAGTTTTAAGGGGTGGCTTCTTACTGCCTGGGGGAATCCTTTGTTGGGAATTGATTAACTGGCTCCGACCTCACAATCTCTGAGAATGCCTGCAATAGATGCATGCGAAGTGTCAGAAGAGAATGTTTCTGGAACATGGCCAGACAGCCTGGAAAACTCACACCAACCCAAGCATTTAATGGCCTAGCCGTTTCAAGGTCTGGCTTCTTACTGCCTGGGGGAATTCTTTGTTGGGAGGTGATTAACTGGCCCCGACCTCACAACCTCTGAGGATACCTGCCATAGGTGGCCATATAGTGAAGACAACTCACAACAACCCAAGCATTGAATGGCCTAGCAGTTTCGAGGTCTGGCTTCTTACTGCCTGGGGGAATCCTTTGTTGGGAGTTGATTAGCTGGCTCCGACCTCACAACTTCTGAGGATGCCTGCCATAAGTGGCTAGATAGTGAAGAAATCTCACAACAACCCAAGCATTTAATGGCCTAGCTGTTTTAAGGTCTGGCTTCTTACTGCCTGGGGGAATCCTTTGTTGGGAGGGGATTAGCTGGCTCCGACCTCATAATCTCTGAGGATGCCTGCAATAGATGCATGCGAAATGTCAGAAGAGAATGCTTCTGGAACATGGCCAGACAGCCTGGAAAACTCACACCAACCCAAGAATTTAATGGCCTAGCCGTTTCAAGGTCTGGCTTCTTACTGCCTGGGGGAATCCTTTGTTGGGAGTTGATTAACTGGCCCTGACCTCACAACCTCTGAGGATGCCTGCCATAAGTGGCCAGATAGCGAAGGAAACTCACAACAACCCAAACATTTAATGGCCTAGCTGTTTTGAGGTCTTGCTTCTTACTGCCTGGGGGAATCCTTTGTTGGGAGTTGTTTAGGTATCTATTGGAGGATGCCTGTATAGATGCAGGTGAAACGTCAGGAGAGAATGCTTCTGTAACATGGCCAGACAGCCCGGAAAACACACAACAATTCAAGCATTTAATGGCTTAGCCGTTTCGAGGTCTTGCTTCTTACTGCCTGGGGGAATCCTTTGTTGGGAGTTGATTATCTGGCTCAGACCTCACAACCTCTGAGGATGCCTGCAATAGATGCAGATGAAATGTCAGGAGAGAATGCTTCTGGAACATGCCCAGACAGCTTGGAAAACTCACAACAACCCAAGTATTCAATGGCTTAGCAGTTTCAAGGTCTGGCTTCTTACTGCCTGGGGGAATCCTTTATTGGGAGTTGATTAGATGGCCCTGACCTCACAACCTCTGAGAATGCCTGCCATAGATCCAGGTGAAACGTCAGGAAAGGATGCTTCTGGGACATGACCAGGCAGCCCGGAAAATAACCCAAGTATTTAATGGCCTAGCAGTTTCAAAGTCTGGCTTCTTACTGCCTGGGGGAATCCTTTGTTGGGAGGTGATTAACTGGGCCCCGACTTCACAACCTCTGTGGAAGCTTGCCAAAGACGCAGGTGAAACATCAGTGACTCTGGCCGTGAAAGCCTTCGACAACACAATAATAATAATAATAATAGTAATAGTAATAATAATAATAATAATAATAATAATAATAATAATAATAATAATACATCGCACAGTCCTAGACGCTTGGGAAGTGTTCGACTTGTGGTTTTGTGATACGAAATCCAGAATATAAATCTCGTTTGCTGTGACATACTGTGCTTTTGTGTCATAGTAATAATAATAATAATAATAATAATAATAATAATAATAATAATAATAGGACATAATGCAGCAATGGGCTCAAATTGCAGGAAAAGAGATCCCACTTAAACATTAGGAGGAATTTCCTGCTAGTAAGAACTGTTCCGTAATAGCATTTCCTGTATCGGAGTCCCCCCCCTGGAGTTTTTCAAGCAGAAGCTGCTTGGCCATCTGTCGGGAGGGCTTTGATTGTGCCTTTTTTGGCCAAAGGGGGTTGGACTCTATGGCTCTTGTGCTCTCGTCAAAATCTATGATTCTAAGGAGCGTCAAGCTGAGATGTTCAAGCGAAACCGTTCTCTTCTTCTAATCTCCTCTTCCTTTTGTCGCCCTCGGCTGTTTTTGTTCCGTCGCTCAAAAGGATGGAGCTTCCAAATGGGTTCCGCTTACCAGTTCCACAGCTGGCGCGTCTTCGTCTTGGTTTGCGCTTTCCCGTCCGTCTTCGCCATCGGCGCCCTCACCACCATGCCGGAGAGCCCACGCTTCTTCCTGGAGGTATGTGGGGACGTTGGGCGAACGGCCATCTGTCGGGGGGGCTTTGATTGTGTCTTCCTACATATCAGAATGGGCTTGGATGATCTTTGGAGTTTCTCCCAACTTTGGATTCTACGATTGCAAGGCAGGATGACCATCTGTCGAGAGGGCTTTGATTGTGTCTTCCTACGTGTTGGAATTGGGTTGGACTGGATGACCTTTGGAGTCTCTCCCAATTCTAGGATTCTATGATTGCGAGGCAGGATGGCCATCTGTCAGGAGGGCTTTGATCATGTCTTCCTACATACTGGAATAAGGCTGAAGTCTCTCCCAACTCTAGGATTCTATGATTCGTAGACAGGATGGCCGTCTGTTGGGAGGGCTTTGATTGTGTCTTCCTATGTATTGGAATCAGGTTGGACTGGATGACCCCTTGGAGTCTCTTCCAACTCTAGGACTCTGATTCTGAGGCAGGATGGCCATCTGTCGGGAGGGCTTTGATTGTGTCTTCCAACGTATTGGAATTGGGTTGGACTGGATGACCTTTGAAGTGTCTCCCAACTCTAGGCTTGCATGATTCAGAGGCAGGGTGGCCATCTGTCGGGAGGGCTTTGATTGTGTCTTCCTACGTATTGGAATCGGGTTGGACTGGATGGCCTTTGGAGTCTCCCAACCCTAGGATTTTACGATTCAGATACTGGATGGCCATCTGTCGGGAGGGCTTTGATTGTGTCTTCCTACATATTGGAATCAAGCTGAAGTCTCTTCGAACTCTAGGATTCTTTGATTCCGAAGCAGGATGGCTATCTGTCAGGAGGGCTTTGATTGTGTCTTCCTACATAGCAGAATGGACTTGGATGATCTTTGGAATCTCTCCCAACCCTAGGATTTTATGATTCAGAGACTGGATGGCCATCTATCGGGAGGGCTTTGATTGTGTCTTCCTACATATTGGAATTGGGTTGGACTGGATGGCCTCTGGAGTCTCTTCGAACTGTAGGATTTTATGATTCAGAGACTGGATGGCTATCTGTCGGGAGGGCTTTGATTGTGTCTTCCTACATATTGGAATCGGGTTGAAGTCTCTTTCAAGTCTAGGATTCCATGATTCCAAGGCAGGATGGCCATCTGTCGGGAGGGCTTTAATTGTGTCTCTCAACATATTGGAATTGGGTTGAAGTGTCTTCCAATTCTAGGATTCTATGATTCCAAGGCCGGGTGGCCATCTGTCGGGAGGGCTTTGATTGTGTCTTCCTATATTTTGGAATCAGGTTGTACTGGATGGCCTTTGGAGTCTCCCAACTCTAGGATTCAATGATTCTGAGGCAGGATGGCCATCTGTCGGGAGGGCTTTAATTGTGTCTTCCCACATATTGGAATCGGGTTGGACTGGATGACCTTTGGAGTCTCTCCCAACTCTAGGATTCTATCATTCCGAGGCAGGATGGCCATCTGTTGGGAGGGCTTTGATTGTGTCTTCCTATATTTTGGAATCAGGTTGAAGTCTCTTCCAACTCTAGGATTCTATGATTCAGAGTCTAGATGGCCATCTGTCAGGAAGGCTTGGAAGCACACATTTGGGGTCCGAATTCATGTATTTTCTTGCATTTCTAGAACGGGAAGCACGACGAGGCTTGGATGGTGCTGAAGCAAGTCCATGACACCAACATGCGGGCCAAGGGACACCCCGAACGGGTCTTCTCGGTAAGATTATATTATAATAATATAATATAATATAACTATTACATTACATATAACATTATAATATAGCATGGTTTATAACTGCATGGAGTATATAATATATGGATCCAACATTGATTATTATATGGTTATTATTATTACACTAAATAATAATATATTATTATTTATATAATAGTTTGTAATTAATTGCAATGATATATAATTATTGTAATTCATATTAATACAACTATATTATATATATTATTGTATATACTATATGATATATTATTATCTAATATTTTACAATTAATTACAGTGATATATAATTATTATAATTCATATTATTAGTCTAACTATATTATATATATTATTGCATATGCGATTTGATATATTATTATCTAATAATTTATAATTAATTGGAATGATATATAATTATTATAATTCATATTATTAGTACAACTATATTATAAATATTGTATTTAATATATGATATTATCTAACAGTGTATAATTAATTGCAGTTATATATAATTATTATAATTAATATTATTAGTACAACTATAGTATATATATTATTGTAAATGCTATTTGATATATTATTATCTAATAATGTATAATTAATTGCAATGATATATAATTATTATAATTCATATTATTAATACAACTATATTATATTTTATTGTATATAATATATGATATATTTTATCTAATTAATTGCAATGATATATAATTATTAGGATTCATATTATTAGTACAATTATTGTATATATATATATATTATTGTATATAATATGTGATATATTATTATCTAATAGTGTGTAATTAATTGCAGTGATATATAATTACACTACATGATTTATTATTATCTAATAGTTTATAATTAATTGCAATGATATATAATTATTATAATTCATATTATTAGTACAACTATATTATATATATTATTGTATATACTATATGATATATTATTATCTAATAGTGTATAATTAATTGCAGTGATATATAATTATTATAATTAATATTATATATATTATTGTATATACTATATGATATATTATTATCTAATAGTGTATAATTAATTGCAGTGATATATAATTATTATAATTAATATTATATATATTATTGTATATACTATATGATATATTATTATCTAATAGTGTATAATTAATTGTTATGATATATAATAATTATAATTAATATTATTACTACAACATTATATAGATTATTGTATACACTACATGATATATTATTATCTAATAGTTTATAATTAATTGCAATGATATATAATAACTATAATTCATATTATTAGTACAACTATATTATATATATTATTGTATATGCTATATGATTTATTATTATCTAATAGATTATAATTAATTGTAGTGATATATAATAATTATAATTATTTATTATTATTATCTAATAGTGTATAATTAATTGCAATTATATATAATTATTATAATTAATATTATTACTACAACTCTAGTATATATATCATTGCATATACTATATGATTTATTATTATCTAATAGTTTATAATTAATTGCACTGATATATAATTACTATAATTGATACTATTAGTACACCTATATTATATATATATTATTGCATACACTATATGATTTATTATTATCTAATAGTTTATAATTAATTGCACTGATATATAATTACTATAATTGATACTATTAGTACACCTATATTATATATATATTATTGCATACACTATATGATTTATTATTATCTAATAGTTTATAATTAATTGCACTGATATATAATTACTATAATTGATACTATTAGTACACCTATATTATATATATATTATTGCATACACTATATGATTTATTATTATCTAATAGTTTATAATTAATTGCACTGATATATAATTACTATAATTGATACTATTAGTACACCTATATTATATATATATTATTGCATACACTATATGATTTATTATTATCTAATAGTTTATAATTAATTGCAATAATATATAATAATAATAAGTAGTAGTAGTAGTAGTAGTACAATTATATTATGTATAGTATTTTATATAATAATTATAATTATAATATTTATAAATAATATATCAAAAATATTATATAACTATTTTATTACATATAGCACTATAATATAATATGGTCCATTGACCCACTTGATTCCGCAGGTGACCCATATCAAGACCATCAAACAGGAGGACGAACTGGTCGAGATCCAATCCGACACGGGGGCTTTGCACCGGCGCTGGATGGTCCGTTGCTTGAACCTTTCGCAACAGGTAAGGCATTGAGGTTGCTGGATTTTGGGAGTTATAGTTCACCCCTCATCCAGGGCTCTCTGGGTGAACTCCCATCAACAGTGGATCTTGGTACACAGACTAATCATGACCAACTTTAACAACTGGTGTGGTTTGGAGGGAATTGACCTTGGATGCTGGGAGTTATAGTTCACCCACATCCTGAGAGCGCTCTGAACCCCACTGACGATGGATCTGGACCAAAGCTGGCACACAGACCCATCATAACCAACTTTAACTACTGGTGCGGCTTGTGGACAATGATAGGGGACAATGGGAGTTGTAGTTTACTCATGTCCTTGGGCATTTTCTAACTGGACCACTTGAATATTAGGGGAAAAACACCTCTTAGTGGTAACAGCTGTTGCCTGGAAGTCTGGTGGAGCCTCCTTCTTTGGAAGAAAGCAGAGGCTGGATGGCCATCTGCTGGGAGGGCTTTGATTGTGTTCTGGCATGGAAGAATGAATGGGGTTGGACTAGCTGGCTCTTGAAGTCTCAATATGTGAAATATGTTGCCTGTGAGTTTGGTGGAGTCTCCTTCTCTGGAGTTTTTTAAAGCCTAGGGAGGATGGCCATCTGCCGGGTGGGCTTTGATTGTGTTCTTGCATGGGAGAATGAATAGGTTTGGACTAGCTGGCCCTTGAGGTCTCTTCCAATATGTGAAATATGCTGCCTGTAAGTTTGGTGGAGTCTCCTTCTCTGGAGTTTTTTCAAGCAGAGGGTGGATGGCCATCTGCCAGGTGGGTTTTGATTGTGTTCTGGCATGGGAGAATGAATGGGGTTGGACTAGCTGGCCCTTGAGGTCTCTTCCTTCTCTGTCTTGGATGTACGTTTCCAGTTTTTGGATTTTACTATAGAAGTTTCTACCTTTGTTTTTCCTGGACTTATTTCCTGGACTATTCGCTCAGGCTTATCTTCCTATCTCATTGGATTTACCTATTCTTTTAAAGTGCTTTTTTACTAGTACTGCTTTTTTTAATAGCTTCGATAAACAGATTGCATTTCTACTCAGCTGTGTGGTGTTTAAAGTCAGAGGGCTTTCCTGGTCTGGAGTGCAACAGTGGTACCTATTTATCTAGCATGTTTTCGAACTGCTAGGTTGGCAGGAGCTGGAGCTGACAGAGGGGAGCTCATCCCGTCTCGTGGATTCGAACTGCCAATCTTTAGGGCAGGAGTTCAGCAGCACAAGTAAGACCGTGCATAGTCTTACAGTACTATGGAGGACACATTCCCGGTTGCAACTCAGGGTAGCTTTCACCTTGCTCCAGACACCACCACACCAAAGCTGTAGGTTTTGTAGTTTATTGAGGAAAAAAAGGCAAAATCAAAACAAAGTATAAGAAATGCAAAAGTTCCATAGGCAGGACAAAAGCTTAAATGCAAAGACAAAGTTCCCAAGATCCAAAGGCAAAAACATGAAGCAGGATCAAACAAGAGTCCATGGAAAACAGTTGAAAACAAGGCCCAAATCCCAGACTCAGGAAGCCAGAAGCGTGCTGCTAAAAGCCAAAGTTAATCCACAGAAGTTTGCATGAGGAGAACTACATTGGACTGACAACCCCTGCTTGTCAGCTGGAAGACTAAAAATACCCTTTGCAGACATGAACACATTGCGTTGACCTTTGGCACACTTGGCTTCTCGCTTGCTAGCCAAGCGAGTGCGTCTCCGGAGACTTAATTGCAGACGATCTTGTCTGCTCATTAATTCATTATCTTCAAGGCTATGCAACCCCTTATCTTGGTCCAGCTGGATGCAGGGGCGGCTCATCCATTACGCGAAGTAAGTGGTTGCAGAACACTTTTTTTCCCAGGGGCGCAGAGGTGCCTCTGTAAATGCCCCTCGACCGCCACTTGAGGAGCGCCCCCTCAGCTCACAACAGCCCTAGCAGTCCGGGGGGAGCCTCGGCTTTCTTGCCTCGCTGCCGGGCGATCCTCTTCCCAAAGGGGCCGGGCCCTTGAGCCTCGCCTAGCCCCTCTCGTTCCTGCTCCACCCGGTCACTGGGTGCGCGAGCAGAGCCGGCGCTCAATCGTTCTCCGCATTCGATCCCTTTCCCATGACCGGCTCCCTTTCCCAATCCCCCGGCGCTCCACCCGCCTCCTCTCCTCTCCCCAATCCGCGGGTGGGCCAAGGGGCGGCCGCGCCTGGCCCGCTTCGGGTCCGGAGGCGTGTCTGAAGACCCCAGCGTGCGCACCAAAAGTCGCCTCTTCTCCTGACTTTCTCTTCAGCCATTGGGACCAAGAGAGAGAGAGAGAGAGAGAGAGAGAGAGCCCTCCGGCTGGAGGTATCTCCCACCTCCGCTCCCTCCTTTGTTTTTGCGCCTACCTTCAGGAAAGGTGGGCATCTCCACCTCTCTCTCTCTCTCTCTCTCTCTCTCTCTCTTGGTCCCAATGGCTGAGGAGAAAGTCAGGAGAAGAGGTGACTTTTGGTGCACACGCTGGGGTCTTCAGGCATGCCTCCGGACCCAAAGCGGGCCAGGCAAGGGAGCAAATGCGGCAATTGCCCAGCGTGTGCACCAAAAGTCGCCCCTTCTCCTGACTTTCTCTTCAGCCATTGGGACCAAGAGAGAGAGAGAGAGAGAGAGAGAGAGAGAGCCCCTCCGGCTGGAGGTATCTCCCACCTCCGCTCCCTCCTTTGTTTTTGCGCCTACCTTCAGGAAAGGTGGGCATCTCCACCTCTCTCTCTCTCTCTCTCTCTCTCTCTCTTGGTCCCAATGGCTGAGGAGAAAGTCAGGAGAAGAGGTGACTTTTGGTGCACACGCCGGGGTCTTCAGGCACTCCTCCGGACCTGAAGCGGGCCAGGCGCGGCGGCTCTGCCCCTTGGCCCACCCACGGATTGGGGAGAGGAGAGGAGGTGGGTGGAGCGCCGGGGGATTGGGAAAGGGAGCCGGTCATAGGGAAGGGATCGAACGCGGAGAACGATTGAGTGCCAGCTCTGCTCGTGCACCTGGTGGCCGGGTGGAGCAGGAACGAGAGGGGCTAGGCGAGGCTCAAGGGCCCGGCCCCTTTGGGAAGAGGATCGCCCGGCAGCGAGGCAAGAAAGCCGAGCTCCCCCCGGACTGCTAGGGCTGTTGTGAGCTGAGGGGGCGCTCCTCAAGTGGTGGTCGAGGGGCATTTACAGAGGCGCCTCTGCGCCCCTGGCAAAAAAAGTGTTCTGCGACCACTTACTTTGCGTAATGGACGAGCCACCCCTGGATCCGGATCACTGTGGGAAGGCAAAGACGTCTCCACCTGGCTATGTGGGATTTCACTCTCGTTATCAGTCTCACTAATATTCCTTTTCCCTGGGAACCGACTTGCTGTTTCCCCTTCAGCAGCCCCACCGTCAGCCCTGTCTGAAGCATGTACAGAAATCTGTAACACCTCCTCCTCATCCTGTAGGAATTCTGACTCGGAAGGCCCACCGAGCTCAGCTTCAGACTCAGAATCAAGCTGAGTCACAACATTCCCAAACATTGTTGTTGTTGTTGTTGTTGTTGTTGTTATGATTGTCCCCCACTTCCCTCTCTTAATTGAGATGAGATTTTGCCCTTCCTTTTGCAGGTCTGGGCCAACATCCACCAATGCTTTGCTCCCGAATACCGCCGGGTGACGCTGATGATGATGGCTGTGTGGTTCACCATGTCTTTCAGGTAGAGACAGTGGGAAAAAGGGGGAAATTCTCTTATTTCGATCGTGGTTGATGGGGGGATTATTTGGTGTCGCTATCTACCAAGTCGGCATTGTCTTAACAGTGATCCTATAAAGGAGATTGGAGCATTGGAGTTCATGGCGCTTCCAGTGTTGTTGTGACAAGCATTAAAGCTTGTTGTTGTTGTTGTTGTTGTTGTTGTTGTTGTTGTTGTTGTTGTTGTTCCATGCAGAAGCCCATGATGCCAATGGGATTTGCTATCTGAATGCTGGAAAAGGGTCAACCTGGAGGGCTGAGAGATTGGCACCTTTTGCTTTCTGATGTATCGATATCCCTAAAATTTGATTAATGCACCAAATCATTATCGAAAACGACCTTTGTGCATATAAGTTGTGCATAAAACATCCAAATATTGCATGAGGCATGTATATTCAGCTATAAGTATGGCAAAATCCAAAATACTTCTGGTCCCAAGCATTTTGGATAAGGCAGACTTAAACAGGATAATAAACAATTATTATTATTATTATTATTATTATTATTATTAGTAGTAGTAGTAGTAGTAGTAGTATTTGAATCACAAGATGAGTCGTTATTATTATTATTATTATGGCACAAAGGATATTTATTTCTTATTATTTTATATTATTATTAAAATAAAGATTAATAATAAATATTTATTATAATAATTTGTTATAATAAATATTATAATAATAAATATTATAATAATAAAAATAAATAATAATAAAATTATTATTAATAATACTAATTAATAAAAATAAATAATAAAAATAAAATTATTATTAATAATAATACAAATAGTAAAAATAATTATTATTATTAATAATAACTAATAATACAAATAATAATACAAATAATAATAATAATCAATAATAATTAATAATATAATAATGACGACTGGCACAAGCCAGTAAAGGTGGTCCCAGTGGTGATCAGGTGGTGCAATACCGGCTAAGCAGTGTAATTTCTCCAGCAACGTAGGGTGTTGACATCCTATGATAATGCGGCATGTCTCATTAAGAGCCACATCCACTGTTTTAACGTGGTGAGATGAATTCCACACTGGGCATGCATACTCAGCAGCAGAGTAGCATACCGCAAGGGCAGATGTCTTCACTGTGTCTGGTTGTGATCCCCAGGTTGTGCCAGTCATCTTTTGTATGATATTGTTTCTAGCGCCCACTTTTGGCTTGATAACCAAGCAGTGCTTCTTATAAGTCAGAGCATGGTCCAGAGTGACTCCCAGGTACTTGGGTGTGCTGCAATGCTCCAAGGGGATTCCTTCCCAGGTCATCCTCAGAGCTCAAGATGCTTTCCTGTTCTTAAACTGAAAAGCACACGTCCGCATTTTAGATTGATTTGGAATCAGATGGTTTTCCCTATAATAGGCAGCAAGAGCACCTCAAGCTTTCGAGAGCTTCTGTTCAACCATTTCAAAGCTCGCTGCTTGAGCGGTGATGGCACAATCGTCAGTGTAGATGAAACTCTCTGTCCCTTCTGGCAATGGCTGGTCATTTGTGTCAATGTTAAACATTAGGAATCAGCTGGTTTTCCCTGTAATAGGCATTAAGAGCACCTAAAGCTTTGGAAAGCTTTTGCCTAACCATTTCAAAGTTGCCTGCTTGGGCGGTGATGGCATTATCGTCGGCATAGATGGAACTCTCTGTCCCTTCTGGCAGTAGCTGGTCATTTGTGTCAATGTTAAACATGGATGGAGTAAGCACACTTCCCTGTGGCAAGCCGTTCTTCTGTCTTCGCCATCTGCTTCTCTGGCCCTGGAACTCAACAAAAAAGCTCCTGTTTTGTAGCAGATTTCCTATGAAGCGGGTGAGGTGGTCGTCCTTTGGGATATTATACATTTTTTTTCCGGAGGAGGTGATGATTGACAGTATTATAAGCTGCTGACAGGTCTATGAAGGCAGCTCCCGTAATCTGCAGATGATGAGATCATTATTATTATTATTATTATTATTATTATTATTATTATTATTATTATTATTATTATTTGTGTCCCGCTATTATCTCACCGCCAGGATGCAATTTTACTCCTTCTTTCAAAATAATAGTGGAACTATCTCATTCGCTTGTAGAGATAACTCAAGGGCCGCACAGCTCCCAAAGCTGGGAATTGTCGATTGATCTCGCCGCAGCTCTATTAATTGGACTCATTAGAGTAGGAAAAAATTAATTGCCAGCTGATCCCAAATAGACGCTGGCTTCGCTGCTGTTGGCAGGTGTGCAAACCACTTCCAAGCCCTAATTAGTCCATTTGGAAACCACATTTTTAATACATAATATCATGTTGCCTTTCTCTCTCCGTTCTCAATATTCTTATCTCGGCAATCGCTTCCTTCTGTACTTTCCTTCTGCTCCTCCTTCCTTCTCTCCAATCCCAGCTACTACGGTTTGACTGTCTGGTTCCCCGACATGATCAAGCACCTCCAGAATATCGAGTACGCCTCCCGGACGAAGGTCTTCATCAACGAGACGGTGCGCCACATCACGTTCAACTTCACCTTGGAGAACCAGATCCACAGCCGAGGGGAGTACTTCAATGACAAGTGGGTTCCTCCCTTTCCTCGCCTACACTATTTGTTTCTTCTGTTCCACATTTATTCTTCCCTTTTATAAAGGGGGGGGGGGATCACAGAGTTGGAAGGGTCCCCAAAGGTCATCCAGTCCAACCTCATTCTGCCTGGCAGGAAGACACTGACAGATGGTCATCCAGAGAGAGAGACTGAGAGAGAGAGAGAACATAGATAGATGAATGGATGGATGGATGGATGGGTAGGTAGGTAGATGCTTAGGTTCATTCTCAAGCAGAGAAGTAAGATGGATGGATGGATGGATGGATGGATAGATGGATGGATGGATGGATGGATGGATGCTTGGGTGCATCCTCAAGCAGAAAAGTAAGATGGATGGATGGATGGATGGATAGATGGATTGATATGTAGATGCTTGGGTGCATCTTCAAGCAGAGAAGTAATATGGGTGGGTGGATGGATGGAAGGTTAGGTGGATGGATGGATTGATGAATGGATGCTTGGGTGCATCCTCAAGCAGAGAAGTAAGATGGATGGATGCTTGGGTGCATCTTCAAGCAGAGAGGTACGATGTGTGGCTCGGTGGATGGATGGATGCTTGGGTGCATCCTCAAGAAGAGAAGTAGGATGGATGGATGGATGGATGGATGGATGGATGGATGGATGGATGGTTGGATGGATGGATAAATAGATGAATGGATGGATGGATGGATGGATGGATGGATGGATGGATAGATAGATAGATAGATAGATAGATAGATAGATAGATGATAGATAGATAGATAGATGGAGTTGTACTTAAAAACTGTACCTGTTCCGACTTACAAACAAATTCAACTTAAGACCAAACCTAAAGAGCCTATCTCGTTCATAATTTGGGAACTCATTGAATATACGAGGGGGATGGATGGATGGATGGATGGATGGATGATTGGGTGCATCCTCAAGAAGAGAAGTTAGATAGATGGATGGATGGATGGTTGGTTGGATGGATAGATGAATAGATAGATGGATAGATAGATAGATAGATGCTTGGGTGCATATTCAAGCAGAGAAGTAATATGGATGGGTGGATGGATGGAAGGATAGATGGGTGAATGGATGGATGCTTGGGTGCATCCTCAAGCAGAGTAGATAACGATGGATGGATGGATGGATGGATGGATGGATAGATGATGATGGATGCTTGGGTGCATCCTCAAGCAGAGAAGTAAGATGGATGGATGGGTCATGAAGCAGAGTAGGAAGATGGATGGATGGATGCTTGGGTGCATCCTCAAGAAGAGAAGTAAGATGGATGGATGGATGGATGGATGGATGGATGGATTGATGGATAGATAGATAGATGGTTAGATAGATAGATGCTTGAGTGCCTCTTCAAGCAGAGATGTAATATGGATGAGTAGATGGAAGGATAGGTGGATGCTTGGGGCCATCCTCAAGAAGAGAAGCAAGATGGATGGATGGATGTATGGATGGATGGATGGATGGATGGAGGAAGGAAGGAAGGAAGGAGGGAGGGAGGAAGGAGGAGGGAGGAAGAAAGAAAGGAAGGAAGGACGGACGGACGGACGGACGGACGGAAGGACGGACGGAAGTCAGACAGACAGACAGACAGACAGACAGACAGACAGATAGATAGATAGATAGATAGATGCTTGGGTGCATTCTCAATCAGAGAAGTAAGATGGATGGATGGATGGATGGATGGATCCGCTTGGCTAGATAGATAGACAGAAGATATGGATGCTTGGGTGCATCTTCAAGCAGCTATATGATGGAAGGATAGATAGATAGATAGATAGATAGATAGATAGATAGATAGATAGAGACAGTTGATAGTTATGTAAATGATAGAAAGAAGATAGAAGCTTGATAGATGAATGGAGAAATGAATGCCCGCTTAGTATAGTGTTTTGAGCAAATGGGCTACAACAATTGTTGGAATCTTGTTTCCAACCTAGAAAACTACTTGATGACCTTGGTCAAGTCACATGCTCTCAGCCCTGTAAAATTCCTGATTGAGACCTCTCCCAATTCATCTTTTCTGCCCTGTCTTGCCTTCGTCTGACCATCTTCTCTCACCCTCCCGTCAGGTTCATCGGCCTCAAGATGAAGTCCATCTCCTTCATCGACTCGCTGTTTGAGGAATGTTATTTCGAGGACGTCACGTCTAGCAATACCTTCTTCAAGAACTGCACGTTCATCTCCTCCGTCTTCTACAACACAGGTGGGATCTGGGACCGGATATATACTGTTCTATCCCTTGTTGTTTCTATCTATCTATCTATCTATCTATCTATCTATCTATCTATCTATCTATCTATCTATCTCTACTTCTCTTTCTGTCTTGTTCTCTGTTCCCACCCTCTTTCTCTCTGACACACATCTAACGATTGATCTCTTTCATCTATCTATCTATCTATCTATCTATCTATCTATCTATCTATCTATTTCTATTGCATCTATCATAGATTAAATAAGACAGATATCTATCTATCATCCTCTACATCTTTCATTTAATGTGTATCTAATATTTATCTAAACTACCTCAATCTATCTTTCTATTGTCCACCTACCCAATCTTTCGTTCTTTCTGACACATATTACCTCTCGATCACTCTACCTCTATCTATCTTCCCACCCACCCACCCATCCATCCATCTATGTATCTATCCATCCATATTCCTATTTATCCTATCTGTCTGTCTGTCTATCATCTATCTATCTATCTATCTATCTATCTATCTATCTATCTATCTATCTATCCATCCATCAATCTGTCTGTCGGTCTATCCATCCTTCCATCCATCCATCTACCTATCCATCCATCTACCTATCCATCCATCTACCTATCCATCCATCTACCCATCTACCCATCTACCCACCCACCCATCCATCCATCCATCCATCCATCCACCTATCCATCCATCTACCCATCTACCTATATATCCATCCATCCATCCATCCATCCATCCATCCATCCACCTACCTACCTACCTTTCTACCTATCCATCCATCCATCCATCCATCCACCCACCTATCCACCCATATACTCATCTACCTACCTACCTATCTATCTATCTATCATCCATCCATCCATCCATCTACCTATCCATCCATTTACCCATCAATCCATCCATCCACCTACCTACCTACCTACCTACCTACCTACCTACCTATCCATCCATCCATCCACCTACCCATCTATCCATCTACCCATCCATCCATCCATCCATCCATCCATCCACCTATCCACCCATCTACTCATCTACTCATCTACCTATCTATCTATCTATCGATCTATCTATCTATCTATCTATCTATCATCCATCCATCCATCCATCCATCCATCCATCCATCTACCTATCCATCCATTTACCCATCAATCCATCCATCCACCTGTCCATCCATCTACCCATCTGCATATATATCCACCCATCTACCTATCCATCCATCCACCTATCCATACATCTACCCATCTATCCATCCATCCACCCATCTACCCACCCACCCAGCCATCGATCTATCTATCTATCTATCTATCTATCTATCTATCTATCTATCTATCTATCTATCTATCGATCTTTTCATCCATCCATCCATCCATCCATCCATCTACCTATCCATCCATCTACCAATCTACCTATTAATCTATCTATCTATCTATCTATCTATCTATCTATCTATCTATCTATCTATTTTGCTGATGCATATCTCTCTATCTATCTGTCTATCTACCTATGCACCTACCTACCATTCTTTCTCTCTTTCTTCAATGCAAAGTTCGAGTGCTGACCTCTTCCTGTGCTTTCGCTCTTTCCTTCAGACCTCTTCGAGTACAAGTTCATCAACAGCCGGATCATCAACAGCACCTTCCTCCACAACAAGGAGGGCTGTCAGCTGGACTTCAGCGATGACAACAACGCCTACATGATCTACTTTGTCAGCTTCCTGGGCACCTTGGCAGTCCTCCCGGGGAACATCGTCTCCGCCCTCCTGATGGACAAGATCGGGCGCCTACGGATGCTGGGTGAGGAAGCCTTGCGTGGGGGGGACGGACCAACCAAGACGTGCTGGGGACGGGGCCACGGGTTATGGGGAAAGTCCTGAATCGGGACCACGCTGATGACTGCTCCCTCTCTGCCTCTCCTTCCTAAAGCCGGCTCGAGCGTCATGTCTTGCATCAGCTGCTTCTTCTTGTCCTTTGGCAACAGCGAGTCGGCCATGATCGCCCTCCTGTGTCTCTTCGGCGGGGTCAGCATCGCCTCCTGGAACGCGCTGGACGTCTTGACCGTGGAGCTCTATCCCTCGGACCGGCGGTAGGCGCATTTTGTACCCACATCCCCTACATGAATGATTGGCTCCAAATGTCAATTTTTTGCCTCCCTGCTTGAGCGGCGATGGCATGATCATCAGCATAGATGAAACTCTCTGTCCCTTCTGGGAGTTGTTGGTCATTTGTGTAGATGTTGAACATGGATGGAGCAAACACTCTCCCCTGAGGCAGGCCGTTCTGTTTCCGCCATCTGCTTCTCTGGCACTGGAACTCAACAAAAAAGCTCCTGTTTTGTAGCAGATTTCTTATGAGGCGGGTGAGGTGGTTAGTCCTTTGTGGGATTCCTTCCCAGGTGATCCTCAGAGCTCGGGATGCTTGTTTGTTCTGGTGAAAAGCACATGTCTGCGTTTTGGATGGATTAGGGATCAGCTGGTTTTCCCTGTTGTAGGCGGTAAGGGCACCTAGAGCTTCAGAGAGCTTCTGTTCAACCATCTCAAAGCTCCCTGCTTGGGCAGTGATGGCATGATCATCAGCATAGATGAAACTCTCTGTCCCTTCTGGAAGTGGCTAGTCATTTGTGTAAATATTAAACATTAGGAATCAGCTGGTTTTCCCTGTAATAGGTATTAAGAGCACCTCAAGCTTTGGAGAGCTTCTGTTCAACCATTTCAAAGCTCCCTACTTGAGTGGTGATGGCACGATCATCAGCATAGATAAAGCTCTCTGTCCCTTCTGGCAGTGGCTGGTCATTTGTGTAGATGTTGAACATGGATGGAGCAAGCACGCTCCACTGAGGCAGGCCGTTCTTCTGTTTCCACCATCTGCTCCTCTGGCCCTGGAACTCAACAAAAAAGCTCCTGTTTTGTAACAGGTTTCCTATGAGGCGGGTGAGGTGGTTGTCCTTTGTGGGATTCCTTCCCAGGTAATAATCCTCAGAGTTTGGGATGCTTATCTGTTCTGAAGGTGAAAAGCACATGTCTGTGTTTTAGATGGATTAGGGATCAGCTGGTTTTCCCTGTAGTAGGCAGTAAGAGCACCTAGAGCTTCGGAGAGCTTCTGTTCAACCATCTCAAAGTTCCCTGCTTGGGCGGTGATGGCCCAAGCTCTATCCCTCAGACCGGCGGTAGGCGCATTTCATACCCACGTCCCCTACATGAATGATTGGCTTCAAATGTCAACCCTTTGCCTCCTTGCTTGAGCGGTGATGGCACGATCATCAGCATAGATGAAACTCTCTGTCCCTTCTGGCAGTTGTTGGTCATTTGTGTAGATGTTGTACATGGATGGAGCAAGCACTCTCCCCTGAGGGAGGCCGTTCTTCTTTTTCCACCATTTGCTTCTCTGGCCCTGGAACTCAACAAAAAAGCTCCTGTTTTGTAGCAGGTTTCCTATGAGGCAGGTGAGGTGGTCGTCCTTTGTGATATTATACATTTTTCTCAGGAGGAGGCGGTGGTTGACAGTCTCATAAGCCTCTGACAGGTCTATGAAGACAGCTCCTGTGATCTGCTGCTTTTCAAAGCCATCTTCTATGCTAATAATAATAATAATAATAATAATAATAATAATAATAATAGCACAATCTGAACCCTGTGACATTGCAGTCCTGTTCTCGCCATCTTTTCCGGTCCCTTCCTCCAGTGTTTTCTTATTTTTTTGGGGGGGATAAATGCTTTGCAGAGGAAAGTCAGGCAGGGTAGGGGAGGGAGCGCATGGAGCGGCTGCGCAATTTTTGGGAACAAGGACAAAAAAAGCCCAACAACGAGAGGTGACGCATTGGGCTTGCTAGTCACATGCCGAGCTGCCCGGAGGGACCTTGACGGCACCGAAAAGCCGAGAGAGAGCCAGAGACAGTCAGAGAAAATGCGGAATTCGTCCCCCTTTGCATATTATTGCAGCTCCCATTGCTGATGGGTGTTGAAGTCCACCAGGTTTTCCAGACTAGGGGTGCACAATTAGTGCAGGTTGACCCACTTCAATGCCCACGACTAAATGCAATAGCGTACTGGGAGTTATAGTTTCTGCCCAAATCCTCGGATTTCTCGTTTCTTGACTCCCCAGCCCCCTTTAGCAGAGGAGGCTTGAAGACCTTGCAAAACTACAAATCCCAACTGGAAATGGGGGAAAAAAACATAAGGAGAAACCTTTCCGAGACTTTGGATTGTGCACCCCCTTGTGGCTCCACAAGACAACTACAATCTATGTAATGTTCGTTTGTGGGATTAACAGAACTCAAAAACCACTGGACGAATTGACACCAAATTTGGACACAAGACACCTAACAACCCAATGTATGTCCATCACTCAAAAAAATGATTTTGTCATTTGGGAGTTGTAGTTGCTGGGATTTATAGTCCACCTACATTCAAAGAGCATTCTGAACCCCACCAATGATGGAATTGAACCAAACTTGGCACACAGTTCTCCCATGACCAACAGAAAATACTGGAAGGGTTTGGTGGGCAGTGTCTTTTGGTTTTAGAGTTGTAGTTCACCTACATCCAGAGATCACTGTGGACTCAAACAATGATGGATCTGGACCAAGCTCTGCATGAATACCCAATATGCCCAAATGTGAACACTGGTGGGGTTTGGGGAAAATAGAATCTTGACATTTGGGAGTTGTAGTTGCTGGGATTTATAGTTCACCTACAATCAAACAGCATTCTGAACTCCACCAATGATGAAATTGGGCCAAACTTAGTACAAAGGACGCCCATGACCAACAGAAAACACTAGAAGGGTTTGGTTGACATTGTCCTTGAATTTGGGAGTTGTAGTTCACCTACATCCAGAGATCACTGTGGACACAAACAATGGTGGATCTGGACCAAACTTAGCACATATACTCGATATGCCGAAATATGAACACTGGTGGAGTTTGGGGAAAATTGAATCTTGACATTCGGGAGTTGTAGTTGCTGGGATTTATAGTTCACCTACAATCATAGAGCATTCTGAACCCCACCAACATTGGAATTGGGCCAAACCTCCCACTCAGAACCCCTATGTGGGCCACAGCAGGGGATGGCTAGTCAATAATATATATTATATTATATTATATATTATATTATATTTTTGAGCCCCCGGTGGCGCAGTGGGTTAAACCGCTGAGCTGCTGAATTTCCTTACTGAAAGGTCACAGGCTCGAATCTGGGGAGCAGGGTGAGCTCCTGCTGTCAACCCCAGCGTCTGCCAACCTAGCAGTTCATAAACATTTGAGTAGATCAATAGGTACCGCTCCGGTGGGAAAGTAAGGATGTGCCATGCAGTCATGCTGGCCACATGACCTTGGAGGTGTCTATGGACAACGCCGGCTCTTTGGCTTAGAAATAGAGATGAGCACCAAACCCATGACAAAATCAACTTTTTTGAGTGAAGGACATACATTGGGTTGTTAGGTGTCTTGTGTCCAAATTTGGTGTCAATTCTGGGATATGTGGCTTCTGTTAATCCCACAAACGAACATTACATTTTTTATTCATATAGATAGTGGTACCATATAGTAATATATCATACTAATATTGTGCTATGCTAATAATATAATATATTGTATGTACATATACTACTGGTCATAATAATGTAATAAAATATAATACTACTACTAATAATGTAATATAATAATTATATAATTTATATTACATGTAATATTATTAATAATATTACAGTATAGTGGTATAGTACCATATAGTAATATATTATACTAATATTGTGCTATGCTACTGGTATAGTATCATATAGTTGTATATCATACTAATATTGTGCTATGCTAATAATATAATATATTGTATGTACATACAATATTGATTATAATAATGTAATATAATACTAATAATAATGCAATATAATAATTATATAATTTATATTACATGTAATATTTATACTATTATAGTATAGTGGTATAGTACCATATAGTAATATATCATACTAATATTGTGCTATGCTAATAATATAATATATTGTATGCACATATAATATTGATCATAATAATGTAATATAATATAATACTAATAATACAATATAATAATTATATAATTTATATTACATGTAATATTACTAATAATATAGTAATATATTATACTACTATTGTGCTATGCTAATAATTATAATATATTGTATGCACATATAATATTGATCATAATAATGTAATATAATATAATACTAATAATACAATATAATAATTATATAATTTATATTACATGTAATATTACTAATAATATAGTAATATATTATACTACTATTGTGCTATGCTAATAATTATAATATATTGTATGCACATATAATATTGATCATAATATTGTAATACAATATAATACTAATAATACAATATAATAATTATATAATTTATATTACATGTAATATTACTAATAATATAGTAATATATTATACTACTATTGTGCTATGCTAATAATTATAATATATTGTATGCACATATAATATTGATCATAATAATGTAATATAATATAATACTAATAATACAATATAATAATTATATAATTTATATTACATGTAATATTACTAATAATATAGTAATATATTATACTACTATTGTGCTATGCTAATAATTATAATATATTGTATGCACATATAATATTGATCATAATAATGTAATATAATATAATACTAATAATACAATATAATAATTATATAATTTATATTACATGTAATATTACTAATAATATAGTAATATATTATACTACTATTGTGCTATGCTAATAATTATAATATATTGTATGCACATATAATATTGATCATAATAATGTAATATAATATAATACTAATAATACAATATAATAATTATATAATTTATATTACATGTAATATTACTAATAATATAGTAATATATTATACTACTATTGTGCTATGCTAATAATTATAATATATTGTATGCACATATAATATTGATCATAATAATGTAATATAATATAATACTAATAATACAATATAATAATTATATAATTTATATTACATGTAATATTACTAATAATATAGTAATATATTATACTACTATTGTGCTATGCTAATAATTATAATATATTGTATGCACATATAATATTGATCATAATAATGTAATATAATATAATAAAAATAATGCAATATAATAATTATATATTTTATATTGCATGTCATATTTATACTTTTACAGTATAGTAGTATAGTATAGTAATATATATAATACTGAAATTGTGTTATGCTAATAATATAATATATTGTATGTACCTATAACGTGTAAGCCACTCTGAGCCCCCTGGAATGCTTTCTGGAATCGTGTTGGCCTTTTCCGCTGCCGCAGGACGCTCTTGGCTCACCCTTTCCGCTTTCTCTCCCCTTTTCTCCCCAGGACGACCGCCTTTGGGTTCCTCAACGCCTTATGCAAGCTGGCCGCCGTCCTGGGCATCAGCATCTTCACGTCTTTCGTGGGCATCACCAAAGCGGTGCCCATCCTCTTGGCGTCGGCGGCGCTGGCCGTGGGCAGCTCTCTGGCCCTGAAACTGCCGGAGACGCGGGGGCAAGTTCTACAGTGAGAGAGAGAGAAAGAAAGAGAGAGAGAGGGAAAGAGAGAGAGAGATTGATTCACACTCGGGCCCTGTCCTGCCCTTGCCCCTTTCCCACTTTTGGGAGAGATTTAGAGTCGTAGAGACACTGTGACCGTCGTCTTAATGTCGTTCTCATTTCAACAAAAGGGGGGCGAAAAAGAAATTGCCATCCTTAGTAAGTTCCCGTCCCTTTTCACCAAACTTATTCGTCCCTTTATTTTTATTTTTTTGTGTCCCCCTTGAATCCTCTGCCGTCCCACTTTTCTGGAGTGTCCTGGTTTCTCTCCTTTCCTCCCTCTTTAGTCCTCAGTTGGCTGCAAAGCTGCAAAGCACAATCAGTTGCAGCCTCTTCGCAGTTGTGCCCGTTTTGTGACCTCGTTTTGGTGTCGAAACCTTGGTGGGATTTGTAATCTGTCTGCCCTCTCATCCCACTTTTCCTAAATCTCTTCTACGGTGGTTTTCGTGTGAATCGCGAGGCCGGAGGGGGAATCCAAGTCCAAAACGGAGGTGTACAGTTAGAATAGATGGTCTCAGGGGACCCTTTTTGGAATAATTTCCAGCTTAAGACTTGGTTTATTTGGTTGACATTTCGTTTGGCATCCAGATTCCAAAACAGAGGGGCAAAGTTGGACTAGGTGGCCTCAAGGATCCCTTTCTGAGTCAATTATTGTCCTTTCCAGCTTAATGAGATTTTGTCCAGCGTCCAAACCGAGTCCAAACTGAGTCCAAAACAGAGGGGCAAGGTTGGACTAGATGGCCTCAAGGGACCCCTTTTGACTCTATTCTTGTCTTTTCCGACATAAGGCTTGGTTTAGTTGGTTGAGATTTTGTTCAATGTCCAAACCAGAGGGTCCAGGTTGGACTAGATGACCTCAAGGGACCCTTTCCAACTCTATTCTTGTCATTCCCCACTAAAGACATTGTTTAGTGGGTTGAGATTTCATTCAGTGTCCAAACCGAATTCAAAATAGAGGTGTAAGGTTGGACTAGATGGCCTCAAGGGACCCCTTTTGGAC